ATAATAATAATAATAATGATAATAATAATAAAATAATAATAATGTCATTTTGTTAGGATTTTGTCATTTAGGATTCTAAATTTGTAGTAATTATTGACAATATTATTCTTAGGAGTTAAAATAGTGAATCACCAACCAACGCAGTTAGGCTAAAATATAGGTCTGGTTACAGCAGGTGTTTATAGGGGCCAACGCTTTACATAACCCGTCTATTGAATGTAAGGGATTACATCCCCTGTTGCTATTGAGTTAATTCATCCCCTTTGTATCGCTCAGTAGCGTTGCTATGACGAAATTCAATAATATGCGGCGGTTATTCTATACCTTTTATTCTTGTCGCTTTGTCCAAATGCTTTCGAATGTTCAAACAAAACTGAAACCACTGCGCATGTGTAGTAATGATCATCTTCCAGGCGCTGTTTGGTCTTCAGGAAAGTTGTCATGTTGCGCTAATAATGTTGAGAGCAGAGCATCGAGATTCACTTAGTTGAAAAATATGGAGTATAAATATTTGCTCCTGAGAATTGGAGCGATATAATGCAGTACCTATGTGTTCATTTCATATTTAAATTGTGTTGTCTACGGAAAATTCAATTATAAAACAAGATAAGACCCGACCACTATATGCCAGTCTTACTTTGCCCTAGGCAACAAATGTAACTCACTCATTTTTCCAAGGCGATGGTGATCAATGGTTAGTGTAGCTTTTCTGAATGACTACTTAAGTATAGAAACATCAAATTACAGTATTCCTATAAGTGCAATCAAGATTATCATAAATTCCGTGCATCCGCACAATATGCAGGCCTATGGCCTAGCCTGTAAATGGTAAGATTGAACAATGATGAGTATTTCTTTCGTATAACGTATAAATAATAAATGAATAGCTAAGTAAGGTTAACCGTATCTTGATTTAGGTTTCTTAAATTTCTTCGTCCATCTCCCTACAGAGGCCAAACTCCAATAACGACTGGGCTAAAACAACTAAGGCGGAAGCGGTTGCCATGAATACAATGTTGCTAAGGGATTAAGACCGTATAAATTGAGACGCTTCCCGCCTAGCGCCTTCAGTTCTTCAGCTGCCGCACATTAATCCGGTGTTTGCGAAGTTAGACGTTTCGTCAGTCTTTATACTAAGTTAATTCCTGTACAGTTAAATTTATTCAACAACAAAATGGTAAGTGGCAATATTTGTTATCCAAAACATAGTTGGTTGGTGGAATAGGGTTGTGGTGATATTTTGCAATTAGTTGGTTGTGTGGTTGTAGGGTGAGTGTGCAACCAGGAGTTGATAGGATAATATTGGATAGATGGCCGGATAGATAGTGACAACTTCCTGCATATAGGCATAGGCCTATATGACATAATACGGGACAGGGGTATTCCAGACATTAATAATATCAATAATCTCAACACTCAGATAGGGGCCTATTTTTCTATAAACTTCTTTTGTCAAATCATAGTGGTCACTTGAGAAATGTTACTGTGCAAAATAACAACCTCTCTTCTGGTAAAACCTGCAACTCAAGAGGTAATTTAGAAAACATTGGGTTTTTATTGTAGTATTATAAGACAAGTAGGCCTATAATTATAATAAAGACGCCAACGCCAGCTAATTACTTCCATTCAAATCGATTTTGAACGTGCAGTCATGCATTTGACACAATAAATGGCGGCAACTGATATTTTGTTTATCATAACCGCATTACTATGACGATCGGTTCCAATGTGTGGTGATGGGGGCGCGCTTTATGAACACGATTTAAATCCTCACCATACAGTACAGTACAGATGTGTATAAGAGACAGATGAATAACCAGCTGCTAGTCTGACCTTTGAATGTATTGATCTCTGATGGTGGTTCAAGTATTTAAATGATGCAATACTGCTGGTGAATTGGCCTATATGGATAATTAAATGTTTTTTATGAAATAGAAAATATGCTTATGCATTCGTACATTTTAATGCCCTTTTAAAATTTCCGAATCGGCTTATTTAATGAACGGAGTTCATGCCATTTTATTTATTTAAATCTAATTACAGTATAAATTAGATTTATAATTTATGCTTGGTTGTATTCTCATTCATTGTAATTATTATTATTTATTCCATAATTTCAGCGTGAATGTATTTCCATCCATGTTGGCCAAGCCGGTGTCCAGATCGGTAATGCTTGTTGGGAGTTGTACTGCTTGGAGCACGGTATCCAGCCTGATGGCCAGATGCCAAGTGACAAGACCATCGGAGGTGGTGACGATTCCTTTAACACATTCTTCAGTGAGACTGGTGCTGGTAAACATGTCCCCCGTGCTGTGTTCGTCGATCTTGAACCAACTGTTGTTGATGAGGTCCGAACTGGTACATACCGTCAGCTCTTCCATCCTGAGCAGCTTATCACTGGGAAGGAAGATGCTGCCAACAACTACGCCAGAGGTCACTACACAGTCGGCAAAGAACTCATCGACATGGTTTTGGACAGGATCCGTAAATTAGCAGATCAGTGCACTGGTCTCCAAGGATTCCTGATCTTCCACAGCTTTGGTGGTGGTACAGGGTCTGGTTTTACCTCACTTCTGATGGAACGTCTCTCTGTTGATTATGGCAAGAAATCCAAACTGGAATTTGCTGTCTACCCAGCTCCTCAGATAGCAACCGCAGTGGTAGAACCATATAACTCAATCTTGACAACACATACCACCCTGGAACACTCTGACTGTGCATTTATGGTTGATAATGAAGCTATCTATGACATCTGCAGACGAAACCTTGACATTGAAAGACCAACCTACACTAACTTGAACCGTCTAATTGGCCAAATTGTTTCCTCCATCACTGCATCTCTTCGATTCGACGGTGCATTGAACGTAGACTTGACTGAGTTCCAGACCAACTTGGTACCCTACCCACGTATCCATTTCCCTCTTGCAACCTATGCTCCAGTAATCTCAGCTGAGAAGGCATACCATGAACAATTGACCGTTGCGGAAATCACCAACGCATGCTTTGAGCCAGCCAACCAGATGGTGAAATGTGATCCACGTCACGGAAAGTACATGGCTTGTTGTCTGTTGTACCGTGGTGATGTTGTGCCAAAGGATGTCAACGCAGCCATTGCTACCATTAAGACCAAAAGAACCATCCAATTTGTTGACTGGTGTCCAACTGGTTTCAAGGTGGGCATCAACTACCAACCCCCAACAGTGGTACCAGGAGGTGACTTGGCCAAGGTACAACGTGCTGTGTGTATGTTGAGCAACACCACCGCCATCGCCGAGGCATGGGCTCGTCTTGACCACAAGTTTGATCTGATGTACGCCAAGCGTGCTTTCGTGCATTGGTACGTAGGAGAGGGTATGGAAGAAGGAGAGTTCTCAGAGGCTCGTGAAGATTTGGCAGCCCTGGAGAAGGACTACGAAGAAGTCGGTGTTGACTCTGCTGATGGAGAAGGTGAAGAGGAGGAAGGCGAAGAGTATTAAACCAGAAACTTCATGAACACTGTATAACCTTTTGCTTGTTTGCGCTTATTGTATATTGGCGATGATGTTATAATTGATAAATGAAATAAAAGTACCACTAGCTTTCATATTTTGTTAAACGTGGTAAAATTATCCATAATTAAAAATTATTATAAAGTTTGGACCATGAGCATTTTTGCCATTTCTTAAACTTCAGAAAATGTTCAAATCATGCGTGCAATTTGCGCCACTTTTCAGTATTACGTTCTGTAGATAAAAGACCGTCAAAGTATGTAATAAATGCCCATTTATGAAAAATACGATACTGTAGTTTGTATTTTTCGTTTTTTACATGTGTTACTTGAATGCAGTGATGTGAGTGGTGGTGGTGGTGATTTAGTAGACTTAGATCTTGACTGTCTAGACTTGCCATACCGTAAAACCTCGAATTGAAGCCCCCCCCCCAACCTCTTTAGTTTGCAAAAGATAGTTTTACACTGTACTGTACATGAATTTCAGAAACAAAATAAATTAAATACAGTACAGGCTTAGTTTGTACAGTAGTTTAGGTGATTTAATGCCAGTTAAATACACTCCATCATACAGATTGATGTTACCTTGACCTTATTTATTGTTTAATTGTACAACTTTTTTAGGTGACCTTTTATTTATTGTTTTACAGTACAAATTCACAACATTTACAGCAATCATTTTGAAAAGAAGCCCATCCAAAATTCGCAACAAAAAAAAAGAAGCCCATGGCTTCAATTCAAGATTTTACGGTATCCTGTATTGGAAAGAGCTACAACAATATAAATTATATTTTATATTAGAAATGACCATTATTGAAAATATAGTAGGGGTCTGCAGTACTGTTTCAAATCTCATTACATACAGCAATGCAACAATAATGTCCGAAGTTTCTTGCGGTAATGCTATATAGGGCATATAATTATAAATGTTTAACTGTAAAGAAGAGCAACCTGTGACTGTGAATGATCAATGACTTGAATCAGTTTTGAATTCCCATCAAAGCACCAGTGGCCCAATTGGTTAATGTATCTGCACAGACAACAGATAATCCCGGGTTAGTTTGGGGTAATGTTTTCTCTCGCACGAGTAGATTCTTCTTTTGAAGTTCAAATACATATTATATCCATCAATTAAATAAAAAAAAAAAATCTACTAGCCTTATAATAACAATAGTATAATATAATAGCCATAATACTGTATATGGAAATTATTTGGTTGAACTTGACGGAACTGGATGATGGTCAAAAGGGACACCGGGTGAAGACAAAAATATCAACTTGTAGCGATTGTGCCCTAAAATGATTATTATGCTGTAAAAGTTGACAGTTGTTGCACAACACAAGCAGAACAAAAATAACTAAACACCTAGTAGAAACGAACACACAAAACGATAAAGCAAATGATACAGAAGTATAAAGATAATGCACCTTTCAGAGATAGCTCCCACCTCTCGTTGGAAGAAAACAAAATATATGTGATTTCTACAGTTTGTCGATTAAGTAAGCCCTTCAAATCCCTAAATTATTGGAGCTTTTGGGGATTCGCCTTCTGATCCCCCTTCCAGGATTCTTTTTTTGGCATTTTTTCGTACAATGATAACATAGACTCTATATAATTTTATTTTAATTGACCTAAAAATGAGTTAAGTTGAATTAATACTAATTCATTATATTAATAATATGCAATGCAAAAAATAATTCATTTATAATATGAAATCAACAGATACGTAATTAAAACTACAAAATTTGCATAGTGTTTCTTGATTCGAGTGTACAGTATTGATTAGAATCCTATATGAAAGGTACACAAAACAAGAAATCACTGTGGTTAATGGTCAAAATTGATTGTACAGTATTTATACCTGTCTCTTATACACATCTAGATGTGTATAAGAGACAGCTGTTGTACCGTGGTGATTCTTCTGGAAGCTCTGACAAATTAGCATTTTGAGGGCGGCCTTTTATATGGATTTCTAAAATCCATAATTTGTAATCCTATTTAAATTTTCATTCATTTGAGTATTGTCTAGGGACCTACAGTAAAGCAGGAGAAATAGATAGTGCGGTGAAGGGAGAAACTTGCACAGACAGATGGTCAATACCACCTCAGCCCCACCATGGTTGGGGCTGAGGTAAGAAAATTTATGATTATGGCACCTCAAAGTGGCCGGAAATAGCACTCTCAGACAAACTTTAATTATGATTTTTCTTTTTTCTCCATTTCTTTTATAATTTTAGGGGGTTCTTCCCCTTGAATCCTCCTTTGGGAGGGGGGTGCGTCCGCACCTTCTGCACGTCCCCCCCCCCCACCAGATGTGTATAAGAGACAGCCCTCCGCCTACGGGCCTGCATGCATTAAGCATAGGCCTACTGTACCAGTGTTCATTCTAATGATTGAGAGAAAAACATTTCTATTTTGATGTTAAGTTTATTGTTCAAAACGTGTCAAAATTTTAAATGTGAATGATTTTTTTCCCTTATTTTAAGACTACTATAGTTGTTTTGTAGTAATAAAAAAATGTTTCCCCTTTATAGGCGTTAAGTTGTATCGATTTCACCATTTTTACACTCGGAAAGTTTCCCCGTTCCCTTAATAGTGGTGTCCCCTTAATAGGGGTTGGCCGTAGTGTTATAAGATATATTTCCCTTCGTTTCGTGGAACAGGGCCCCGCTTAATTCCCCTTTCACACATTCACGATAATTCTCAGTTTTCGTTGGTTCAAAAATGTAAATTCTTCATTCACTTTAACGGTTCTAGCGCCCTCTTTGTGACAATTTGCCCTTTGACATCATGGTATCGCACATGTTGTGTTGAATGAAAACTAAACAGAACACTGAAAGTTCACAAAATGCTTGTGGAATGAAGAACCTAAAGAGAAAGAGTGATGCATCTTCCGTCAGTCAGCCTGAAACCAAAACTAAGAAAAAGACTGAAGATTTTAGCGCATATAAGTTTAAAAAGCAACTACGTTCAGACAGTAACGTAGACGTTTTACAAGGTAGGCCTTAGGCTGCTGCTGGGAAGCCAGCAAGGGAAGGTAACTAATTTCTAGGCTAGGCACTGTGTTTGATCGCCTGGTTTTTTACACGGCAAACGTAGGGCCTAGGCCTAACAGGAATACAGATTAATTTCGGTCGCGACTCATTTTGGTAGCGCTTCATTATAGTCGCAGATATGGAGCGCCAGTAATGGAGTTGCGAAAACTCAAAATCTAATAATGCCTAGAGGCTAGGCCTGTGTTATTTATAAGTTCGTCAATTTGTTCATCGTAGGCTTTTTATGTTGGTTTTGTTATCTTTTATCAAATTATATAAAGTGAAACAATGGAATTTTGCATATAATTTGTAATATTATAAAGTACCAATTATGTTTGTACATGAATGTGTATGAAAATAAATGGAGTATATAATATTTAAAATAATATTTAAAGTTTTTAGCTTTTTTGTTTGTTGCAAATTTTAATAATAATAAATAATAATAATAGTAATAAAAATCATAATAATAAACTTCTGAGCGGTACTTGATGCATGCAAAGTGAACAAGTATAACAATGGCAAGCGGCAAACTGATGCTCGTAAAGGAAAAGAAGCACAATGGGAATGTGCACGTGTGGCAACTCGCTTTTAAAACCAGCAAACAATGGCAACTTGACTAAAGTTTTTTGCTTACCAACCAATCAATGCATATTGGTTGCGTGTTTCTTATTCTATAAATTGGGTACAGATGTTTAAGAAACACATTCAGAATTATGGATGAATATTGTCATTATTTATTATATGGGGCTAAAAATACCCAGAATTGGTGACAGAAAACATGAAAACATTTTTTAATGTACAGTATTCGTATTTTCCGCATTATAAGATTGAAAATGATGAGTCATACTAGAATCAACTTGCTATTGCCAAAATTATGAGTATATGGCATCTCTGTACCAAAGTATACAATACTGCCACTTACTTATGCTAATTACTCAGTTTAACCATTAGCAACTGTATGTACTGTACTGTTAAATATCGGTTAATTGGGTGGCTTTTAAATGAGTAGTATAACAGTTCATTTTTGGTTCACTGCAAGCTTTTATTCACACAAACTGTACATTGGTTACAATCAGCTAAACTCCAGGTTTCAGATGTTAGAGAACCCTTTTAGAGAGGAGTCAGCTCAGCTCTGTACTTTCTTCTGTGTACTCCTAACTACTGACTACTGATCACTGACTACTGACTACTACTGATTACTGATGACTCAGTGATATGGGGTGTTTGCCTATTATACTTTAGGTAATGGGGGTGTTTCAAGTAAGTCACCCCATACTTTTAGAGTTTCTGATTGGATCATAGAGAAATTATTTCTCTATGATTTAGTAACTTGTTTACCAAAAAACTGCTAATTAAGATGTATCACAAACTTCAGAACTTAGGCTCAAAACTGACAATCATACAATAGATTCATAGTGTGAGAAAGGCCAAGTCCAACTGACTAGGGTAAAGTTATACAAAGTCCAGTTATATTATTAGATTATCTGTATACTCAAGTTGACCATTAAAACTGTCAAACCAATTTAAGGCATTTATCAGGTGAAGGGTATCGATTCCAATGGTTATGCAAGTTAATACCATTGAACCTTAATACTACATTACAATACACAGTCTAAATTTAATTATTTTGGCGTAAGACACACTATACAACTAATTATTTCTGCACATCTCATAAGCAATATCTGATCATGAGTTATAAGCACATTTGTCTGTTGATTTCAGCATTGACCACATTTCATAAGCTAAGCACTGAATGGAAAAGCGAAACTGATGCTAGCAAAGATGTCGTCAGTGCTTATCTTCAGATATCAGGGGAGTGTTCTGAACTATTACAGCTGTTTGAAGGAAACAAGAAACAACCCAAAGAGGTCAGTTTACATGCAATTTTGAACATTTAGAATGCAAAGAAAAGATAGAATGAAATAGATATAATGAGCTTGAGTGTTGAGAATAAATATAAAAATTAAAAAGAAAAGATTTTTTACTTAACGAAGTTTAAGAAATATACAACTGGCCATTTGCATCCCTCAATATCCTATGCATCAGCATTTTGATGGATCACTGGTCACTAAGCCAAAATAAAAATAAAATAATAAAATTTTGTCACTGCTTCTCAGCTGCGTAGGTTGCAATACTTAAGAGTCTTAGCAGCCATATCACAGATTCTCTCAACCCACCAGCTTATACTATCCATACTCCATTGCTAAACAAGACCATTTCCTGAATGGTATATTACCTTACATGAAGCAATTATTTGCCACAGATTAATTAATATATATTGCATTTCTCTGTTCATTGATTTATTTTATTAATTTCAATCATATATCTTTTTCTATATAGCTTCAATTGATGTGCGAGACTCTTGAGAAGGTCTGCCTACGCGTTGTGGACGATCTCGGCATCTACCATAGCAATCTAGTGCGAGTGGCTCACCAGCTATGTCACAAACACATGAAGCAAGTGGAACGCGCTATCTTTGCCGGCATTCATAATAAGGTGACGATGGCAGGATTCCGACTGTTGACGTCCATAGTTATGCTGGGAATTAGCTCTGCTAGAGATGTTATCAGTTGCTTCTCATTTGAACATCCAGGTTTGAAAAAACTTGTGAACAGATGTGATCTAAAAGTAAGAAATAGGGATAAAAATAATAACAATAACAACACCTTCATATTTTTACCATGATATTGTTTATTTGTAAACACCCTAATTCCAAAAGAATGCTTCTATTGTTACTATTCTAAATATTATGCTGATTATTATTACATGATGAGGGTTTGCATGATTATATTTCTGTTGATGGAAATAGTAATGAAGATTCGCTTTTTCAGGACGATGAAGATGTACGTGTATGGTATATACGCTTCATGTTGTCACTTATGGTTATTGGGGATAACCAATTGATAGAACAGCTAATTGCACACAAAGGTATGTTCCTGCTTTAAATTTCCAATTAATTGGGTTATAAACTATTTATAAAAAAAGCTGTACATTCAAAATTTTGTTTTAAATGGAGTATAAACAGTTGATAGAATAGCTGCTTGCTCACAACGATATGGTCCTGTTTTAGACCTGAAATGAAATAGGGTATAGACAGTTGATAGAAAAGCTTTGCCTTCCTCTTCCCAGCAGTCCTTACTGATTCAAATTGTCTTACCCCCTAGATTTCATCAAAGGAACATTCAAGGCAGTGAAGGCTGACCGGTTGTCTATCATTCAAGTACTTCTCCCGACGTTACGTGATAAGGTCGTGATGAATCACAGTATTAAGAAGACGCAGAAGCTGAAGTTGTTCAATGAATACACTTTACAACAGTTAGCAAGTCTCTATGAATGGGAAGGCAAAAACGATCTCAACAATGATACAGTATTTAGCTTCTCCACTTTCATGCTTTAAAGATAAAAAAAGCTTACAGTACTAGCATCTGATTATAAATGTGTCATGTTATGCAGTTACAAGTTTCATCTGTTAAAATTATAAATATTCTGTCATGGACATTGTACAAACAGTCTATAAAATTGTATCACACATCATTCTTCATACCAATTCATATGGTGTGGAGTGTTTCATTTTTCTCTCATATTTTAGGGAAAAGAGGAAGAGGAACATTTACTTGATGGTAGACTCATTGCCAGACAGCTTATCCACGGCTTCCTCTGTGAGGTCACTTGCTCTCACAAACATGGGGTCAACTTCTTTGACAAGACTTACGGGACGTCTGGAACGTAAGTGCAGAAGTATTGAATAATTTACATTTGTTGACATGTTTACTTGAAAAGCCAATCTGAAAAATAATATAGTGTCTTAGATTTGTGGCCATCAACATTTACACAGACAAATGTAGATGAGTACAGAATATTAGTAAAATGCTGTTTCAGTGACTAAGAATGGTTTTACTCAAGGAAAAATGTCTACCAACACACTGGATCATGTGACTACCAACAATTGGTCATGTGATTCAAACATCATACATTCTTTCATACAGTATGATTCCACCTACACATTTGGTTGTATGATCTTATGACAAAGTCCAATCCCCATTTGACAGCTAAAAATGTACTATAACGTGATTATCACAAAATCTTATTTTGTAATCAACATTGCTGCTTTTCTTTCTATAATTTTACTACAGAAATCAGAACTCAGTTTTGTTTAAGTTCCTTCAAACTTTACGAACAGCAACAAAAGATGTTTTGGTAGAAGAGCTGGCGACCAAGATTTTGAGGACATGTCCCGACCTCCTCCATAAATATCTGACCTCATGTGGTTACTCGTTCTTTCCACGTGCTTCAGAAACATGGATAGTAAACATGAAATTTTTGTCCAGGGTAAGTCATTATGTATATTTTTATTTAGAAAAATGTCTGCTTCACCAAACAAGGGAAAATAAAACATTGTAGCCCCTTTAAACATCGTATTCAGTAATAAGTAGTATCCAGGAAAATACTTACCTAAACATGATTTCTTGGTCCTTTCATCCTTGTTCTCCTTGTTTATCATGGTCCATGGGATCATGATCAAGCCAGTCATTTATGTGAACCTGCCAAAATCTAGTGGAGCATCTTGATTCATCATGATTAATCTTGATAACACGATAAATTAATTCATGACATTGAATTTAACCAATCAGCGTTCAGTGTTGAATTTAACCAATCATCGTTCAGTTTATTTAACGGCCTGATATTTAAGACAACCTCACTGGTTGTGCTTCTGGTAATTTTCATGCAACACTGTACATCATTAGCATAAATAGATCATGATGTATAGATCATAATAACTTTTTCACAAAAACTTATGTGAATGAGCCTGTTGTGTCTAAGATGAAATGTAAGTGACTGCACCACATTTGTTGGGGGAGAGATATTTAAGCTGTTAGTCCTGTGTACATCAGTGGCTGTTTGTACATTAAAGAACTCTACTTAAACTTGGGAAGATGTGAAATTGTCTCCGAGTGTACATAACATTCTGCACCAGCCTAGCAGAGCCCATATACTATAGCCCTATGCAAGTGAACAGTTGTAGATATAAATATATATTCCTATTGTTTCATGCTATTGAACAGTAGGTACCACTTTTATTGATCCTTAGATTTACCAAGCCCAACCTGATGTTCCTCCATGCCTTACACAATCTGATAAAACAGCTGTTCCAAAGCTGGTTGTCATGGCAATGGTCACTACCAAGCCAGCAGTAATTTCTAAGTCAACTCTAGTTCAGGGCATTAAGGTAAGCAATGAATGTAAAATACAAAAATGGTGAGATGTTCATGGTGAAACTTAAGTTGAATTATACTGAATGTGTATTCAAATTTCATTTATTGTATGTTGAAGCCATAATAATATTATTTTACAAAATCTGGATGTAACATAAACATTTTATGTAAATTATTATACAATTTATTAAATAGGTATTTGTGTTTCTTTTAAATTGCTTACTGTTCTCTAGAACGCCAACCTGATGGTGTGCTACCAATCTTTAGATGTGATGATGCTGTTTCTAGAGAGGTCATTGAAGGTCATTCAGTTCACAGAACAAGCTACTCTCACCTTCGACAAAAGAGCATTTATTGAGGAGTTCAAAGATCATGTTTTAACGGTTGGTATTACGATGTTGTAGAGTGGAATGATTGACTGACCAAAGCAACTCCAATGTATCTATGAAAGCTTTGCTCATTAAATAAAATTAGTTTTATGGAAGATGATCAAATTATATTGAAATTGATATTAATAATATGAAAAATGGAGTGGTGATGGCAATAGATTAACTTTATATATACATCTATTTTAATAATGACTGTTTTACTAATTTGTTTGCCAGTATTCAAGAACAATTTCTATTATCTTATGATGGACAAATAAAGCAATTCAGTATTCAGTTTTCAGTGTTGTAGCTTGGTTTTTAAGGTGCCTTCAAATCCCAGAGACCTTTGTTCAAGTTTTCTGACAACTAAAAACAACAAAGAGTCTTGTTTATAGAGCATTGGTGGTCCAAATGACCAGCTTTGCTGGATGGGTCACTATTAATTAAATATGGTATTAAAAATTCTGTTTAATACATATAAATGATAAATAACTAATAGAAAATGTATTTAAGCCATAACTAAATTATTTTTCATATGTACTGTTTGCTTGCAGGAGTTACCAGAGGTGATGATGTTGTTTGGAGTGTGGCACAAAGTTATGAACTTCTTAACTGGAAGGCAAACACCTGACAAAAGTGCTAATAATAAAGGTAATTCAGTAATGGAAATATTAAAATGTATATCCTAATAAAAACCACAGCTTATTTCTAGGAGACCATTTAGGCTAGGCCTAACTGTTATAAATCTTGACACAGACATATTTTTGTAGTGCAACTACCATCTTAAGCTTGATTTCCATACAATTGATACATGCTATTCTCTGACAGCTTTTAGTGATGCTGATTGGTTATTCGTATCGGGGAACCTTCCCGATTGTGTCGGGGACTGCTACATTAGTGCAATGATTGCATTAAAAAAGCTGTAACAAAAGTGTAGATATTTTAAGGAAACTAGGCTATTGTGTAGCAATGCTTACAAGTAAATTCTAGTATTGTTAAAAGTTAACAAATTCTAACTGAATACTGAATTTGCTTTTAAGTATTGTAAGCATGACAGTTTTTGACCTCAATGCAGACAGTATTATTATTGTTCACACCTACAATTTTTCCTGTCTTACTTTTGAGTAATGTATTCTTGTATTTTCAGAGGATAGCCTCCAAACTCCAGACCTCACTGAATTATTGATCATCCTGCTGAAAGTTCTACGGCTGTACCAGCGCTGCATCCCATCAGCTATGGAGCAGACAACCTTTGACTTTGGACATCTACTGCATGATATCTGCAGCCTGCAAGAGAAGAAGCTCTGCAGTGATGTGACGTCTTTGCAGCACAATGCCCTGCAATTCTTAGAAACTCTGCCTAGAGGCCAGATAAAATGGTTCAAGGAGGTGAGTGGATTGGTTAATTGTTAATTCAACCACACATTTCATTTCATCGTTCAGCAATTGTGCTTGTGCATTTCGTGAATACATGCCTAGATGATGCCTTATTTCTGCATCATGGCCAATAAAGGGTCAACAGCACAGGATGTTTACATTTTATGCATCGTTTCTTTGTAGCTAAAGACAGACAAAAGTAAACAGTCGACAGTAACACTATTACTGAGTCTCCTGACCTCTGCTACAGATACTAGACTTCAAGAGGCCAGCAAAGCACTCCTTCACAAGGTAAGACAAATAGTCAAATCCTTGGTTTCCCAGATGCAAATTTCTGTTTTAAAATAGTTATTAATATTATTATTTATATTATTATTATATAAATAACATTTGTAGGGCAATTCTTTTCATTTGTTTACACTCACAGATATTCAGGGAAACTGGTATTTTCAAAAGTGGTGATCAAGAGGTAGATATCTGGTTGCAACATCTCTCAGAAGACACTGGATCATCCACCAAGCTGGAGATCCAGTTCCTTCAGAGGATTTTAACTAAAGTTGTCCGCAATCCACATCCATTGATGGATCAAGTTGCCATGGCGACTGTATCAGCTATGCAATGCAGTGGGATTCTTGAGGATGATGTCAATGAGGATGGCGGGCAAACACTGACATCTCAGATCAAAAGTGAGTGGCTTCTTTTTATTTTGATGTTTGTTTTGCAAAGGAAGTCTTGATATTGATAATCTATAATGTGGGAATACCTCTAAAGATAAATGGAACAGTCTGCCCCAGACATCGTGCATAAACTACCAAGTACACATTCTTGTTTTTTTTTTCATGGAACTGATGCAAGAAGGGTCTCTAACTGGTTCTGCAGATTTTGCTTTCAGATCTGTGGTTTTACTGTGCGTCATACCGTAAAACCTCAAATTGAAGCCCTGGGCTTCTTTTTTTTTGCGAACTTTGGATGGGCTTTAAAAAAATAAGTAAGGCCATTGTAACATCAATCTGTATCTGGGCTTCTTTTCGAGGTTAATTTTGCAAACTAAAGGGGGGTTCGAGATGGGCTTCTTCTCGAGATAGGCTCATTGGGCTTCAATTCAGCAGTATGTTAGGAACGCAACTAGCAAGGCCATACAATAGGTGTTTTGCTACCATGTTCCTGGGATGCTAACATGACCTAGTTAAGTGTGTATCTCACTCATATACACTTCAGATATCACCAGTGATTTGTGTAATCTTTAGATTTCCTTGCAGGAACATATCCCAAGCACTTTACATGCCATTGTATATGTGCTATATATTGTGTATGTATGTAGTGATGAGGATTGTTGTGGTGGCAGTAGTGATGATGTAATTCTGTTATATACTTATTCTAAGCTTTGTATTTCTGTGAAATGGAATAAGTTTGTATAAATATTAAATAAATAATATCTATTGTTTAAAAGACATACTTGATATGGATGAAGTTCCTATACCACAAGTTACTACGCTAGTGCCAGATGGACTTCAGGACACACCCATTGACACATCCATGGACACACCTGTAAACACTTACTCCACAGAGATGCTACTGTCACCATTTAGTGCTCTAGTTCCAGCTGCTCTTCATGAGTGGACAACATGTGATACAAAGCAACAAGGTAAGTGATAACAGAATCCATACATTGAAATTCTAGAATGTTCATAATGAAAAATTTGATTTTGATATCTAATACCTACGATACACTAATTAATTTTTATTGTCTCTTCTCAACTGACTGACTGACTGACTTCCAATTTTTTTTCCAGATTCAATTAAATCATATTTGACATCCGTTTTGAGAGCCATTTTGCATTCCCAAGATAACCCAATACCCATGTGTATGCTTGTGTTAGACATTGTGAAGGAAAACAAAAAAGATGGTGGTGATTTGGCAGAATTTATAAGTTACTGCTCAATTTGGTTGCCGGGAAGTTCAAAAGTAAGTTTTATACTACTTATGCATATTACAATTACACATTTTGTGTTGGTCAAATCACCTGCCCTCTTTGTACTTTTGTTTTTAGAATAAAGCCCCATCTCCATCCCAATCAAATCACATAACACATTAGTGATAGCAAATAGTTGTCTGTTTTTCGAGAGGATTATTGGTAAATATTGCGTATAAATCACATTTCCTTCAGTATGTTAATAAATTATTTTGATCATTATTACATTCTTATTTACAGAACCAGACGACTAAAGATTCAAAGATGAAAAAACAGAAATTATTGGCTGCAAGTAGAAGCAATGCTTTGGATCTGCTTTACAAAACATTTATCGTGTCTAGAGATGACTTGGCAACAGATGATTTTGTTAGAAAAGCTTCTGCACTTGTTAATAAGAAACCACTGGATTTTGAAGGGCTGAAAACATTGATTCAACTATTGATGCTTTATGCAAGAACTTCTATCCTTCACACTCACCTGGTAAGTGTTAGAGACAAAGAACATGACCATTTATTTTTATGAGAGGAGAAAATCAATTTATTAGGGAGTGCATGAACAGCATGTGAGGGGATAAAAATTGCGATGGTAGTGACTGCAATGCTATCTTTATACCGGGGGTGTGCACCTTCCTTGTTCTCTTCGCATTCGCACCTGTTTAGTTTCTTAGTGGCTTTTTTTTTTATTATAGAAGGCGCTATGAAAATACATGACAATTTTAGAAAAGAGAGTGAATTTCTGTGAGTAGAAAAATTGTGAAAGTTTTTTTGAGTGGATTGTGAATATTTTAAGAGGAGCAGTTAATATTTGTGAAGGGAGTGTTAAAAGGGGAATACACATTAGTGAGGGAAGGAGATGAGCATTAGATGAAGGGAGAATATTTGTGAGGGGAGGGATAAACATTTGTGAGAGGATTAGATTAACATTTTTTAAACATTTGTGGGTTTGCATGGTTGTTAGGGGAGGTGATGCATGTTGGCAAAATCACACCACTAGCATAATTATCTGTATATTTCCTTCATACTGATGTACATTGTCTTGTACTTTTCTAGTTTGCATCAGCAAATCAAGTTCTGATGAACTGCCTGGAACTAATAAAAAAAGCTCTCAAACATTTTCAAAACCAAATTGAGAACAGCAAAAAATCTGATACCAGTAGGAACACATTAATCCCAGAGGAAACTTTAACATGTGATGCTAAGAGTCAAAGTTCATCTTTGTGTGAGTTGACAAGAATCATCCTTACGAACAGTATGTTAACTGTTTGGTTACCAACTTGTGAGGGCAGTATAGCAGTGTCTCCTTGCAAAAAGGCAACTTGTAAAGTTATTTGTGAGTTTTTAAAAGATACTCTTTCAACCTATAAACAATATCTCCCAGTAAAATTATTAAGGGAGTGGATTTCGAAGGTCTTTGGTGCCCTCGCTGCTCAAGCAAGTGATGTGACTCAAGTAAAAGATAATGTTTTAGACTTCAAAAGTTTGACAGATTTATTCAAAGCTGTTCAAGACTTACTCGAAATAGAACAATTCTGGGAACTTCTACAAAACAATGCAAATCTACCTACAAAGCATCTTCTAAACTCTACCAAAGATGATTTATCTGAAAGGGGGAAATTTGTAGTACTATTGATGCAGTTGTTTGCTGGTGTAAACCAGTCAAAATCAGACATAGCTCTTAGTAGTACCAAGGTGCCAATTGATAAGTCTAGTACAAAAAAATTACTAACGATATTTGAAGCAATCGATTGCGAAGAGGTTGATAGCCTTGTCAGTCACATGATCAAGCACGATGAGGTAGTAACCATGGCAGCAACAAAGAAAACTCTCCTGCGGTGCTTAAATGGAAACAGACAAAAGGTATTTGAATGCCAGAAATATATTTCAGTTGTTTAACAACTATTTAGAATTGGATTAAATGTAGATGATAAATACATCTAAATAACATGGGTAGTTTTCTTCCCAATACATAGATTTCATCAGTTTCTAGTCAGTAATTTGTAGCAAGTATGTCTGAATTTTGGTTTTTCTGAACCATTTTTCATGTTGTCTACACATATTTTCAGTGATTTGTCCATGCCACACCCATATAGTCATGATTCTGTATTGCATCCATATATGGGTTAAAGTGTCCACATAATAGAATAGAAGCTCTACTGTAATTGATAACCTGTTGTATTTATCATTTCTCTAGTTGCTCATTGCAGCCTATTTGGTGGAGAAGCATGAAAATTTATGTGCTGAGTTTTGTAATTGGCTACAAATTCCGAAATCTAAAGAAACCTTGCACAAACGTCAAGAATGGTACTTACCACTTGTGAATGTGTTGCTAAGCAAACCAACGAAAACAGGTAATGATATTCAATATAATGTTGGTGAGCCTTATCCAACTATGCATTAAAAGATGCAACTGAAATTTTTCTGTTTTGGAATCTTTGTTAGAAGAAATTTGTCACTAAATACTATTTTTTTGTGACTGATGAATAGATAATGCCTACCTAACTGACTTGTTTTGGGATTGGCTGAAGCACTGGTGCATCAATGAGACAAATGACCAAACATTTGCAAGTTTCCAGTTAGAATTATCCAATCAGAAAGAAGAAACTGATGATGGTCTGTTAAAAGTAACCGTTCTTGAAAAAGTGGCAAAGCTAGTGGATGATGAAGCTGTAATTGGATTGGTGGACCTGTTATGCCAAAGACCAATCATATCAAAGATCCCATTCAACAGGTAGAAGTGTGAACTTTGTTTTTATTAACAACAATTTTGTCCTGCTAATATATTACTTAAATTTTTAGGCAACAAGTTTGTAATATTAAAGGTGTTCAACTACTACTATAATAGAAGGATTTTAAAATAAAGATTACAAGAATGCAATTCTTTGATTGGGCAAGTGATGTCAATGAATTATTTAGTGAATTTAAGTGTGAGTGCACGTGTTAATAAATAGTTGTTTTTTTTTCTAATCATAGGCTACAACTTCAAGCTTGTTCTATTTTAATTGGCCAATTGAAATCTCAATCCAAACAGATGAGTGAATTCCTTCATGCCAGTCTACGCAGCATAATAATTCTCACTAAAGAACAGGCCAAGGATCCTTACATTCGTCACTATAGCAATATTGTATGTAAATCCATCCAGGTTAGTAAAAGATTCACTCCGAGAGAATTGTGCAAATCTTTAAACTTGTACACTTGATCAGATTCAGATAGAAAAATTCAAATTCTATACATCCTGGGGTTAGTTTCAAGGTAAGGACCTCCTGTCCCCTACTGTATGTATCCTGAGTAGGGGTTATTTGAGTTTTAAGGCTTGAGATGCATGTAAAGTCTGGCACAACTACAAGGGTCATTAATGTCTTCAACAGACTTTATGGGGATCTCCACTTAATTTAAAGAATATAATTTGACATTAGTTCACTTTTTTCACAGTCTTTTGACTCAATCCTCGATATAACATCACCCTTTGTGAAAACCTGGAATGCATTTGTAAAGGAAGTTTTAAAATCTCACTATCAAGATGCGGAAGCACATAGTCTCCTAAGTAATTTTATAGAAGTAATCTACCGAAAGGAAGCAACCATAGAGGGTGCCCTTCCAACTTCTGTTATTTTCCAAATGGTAGCTTCGCATTCAGCATTCATACCCACAATGCTTCTGGAGGTTGGTGAGGATCAAGATATAGACTCTTTGTTGCTTGGCAGCATTCTATACACATTTAGAAAGTGCAAGATTCTGGGGCAGAAGAGAGGTACAGTATTTATGCCTGTCTCTTATACACATCTAGATGTGTATAAGAGACAGTTATAATGGCATTGTTCTGTTCATTCCAAAGACTACAAATTGTGACTGGCTGTATTTTAATAGAATATTGACTTTTTGATTGCTTTTTGCTACTGCTGATGTGTTTTATTTTTCTCATATATTTTGATATATTCTTCCTTCAGTACTCTGTTTTAATTATTGTTGATACTCTGTGGGGTTATTTTTAACTCTTTTGTTAATTCACGGTAGGTTGTGTACGTCAAGATATTATTTATTGTGTTTAAAAAGTAAAAGTAGAAAACTATAAAGCAATCATTTTTATTATATAACCAAATTGGTTTGGAATTTGTTACAGAGAACCTTGTGAAGTTGATCAGTACACTCTTAGATCTAGATTGTAGTAGCTGCACCACATCTCATTTTACCGTATTTCTTGGAGCGTACAGCGCAACCATGCAGCCGGTCGATCAACAGCTTCTCTACATAATGTACCTGTGTGAAATAAATCATGTTGATGTCTGGAGTTTCCGGTAGGTACATGATATGATTTTGATATTTAAGTTACATGTCAGGCAAAAAAATTGACATTAAAATAACTGTCTTTCCACAGCGACAATACAATACAGGCACACACACCATAAAATGTTTATATATTGGTTAATAATAATACACCAGGGACCATACCCTACCACTTCCTAAATATTATGTCACAGTCTTTTGTTTTGTGTAGGAGTCACTTTAGACACTGGGTCAAAAACATGAAATGGAAGCATTGATTTAATCTCCCAACTTTAAGTCTTTGTTTTGTAGTAATTTCTTTCAATAATCAGAAATAAAGCAATATACTGTACAAAATATACGTCTGACATACTATTACATACATAATTTTATTGTAATATAATTATACAATTTAATTGATGTTTTTTTACAGACCGTTTATGTTTGGAAAGATTGCTGTGGAACAGCACATGGCTAGGTCATCGCTAGGCAGATCACTGTGGACACAACCAAGCATGTCTGAGGTCATTGCACTCTTTGATCCAGAAAAATTGAAATATTCAACTTTGAACTTTCCATTGGAGAGGAAACTTCAAGTAAGTGTAATAAATCTGTATTTTAATTTTTTTTAATTTTTTTTTTTTCAGAATTTTTTCCTTTCAGATTTTTTTTCTTCAGAATATTTTTCTTTCATAATTTCTTTTATAATGATAATTCCCAATGGAATGCATATTTTTTAGCTTAAGTAACAGATTTTTATTTCCAGCCAATTGGAGCCATGACTCAAAAACTAGATGAGTGTGAGTTGAAGGAAGACGGGTGTTCACAGACAGATAGTAGTGGCATCTATGACCCTTGCTGTGTCCTTCCTATGCTTAGTTACCTGCTTTCTCCAAGTAAATACAAAGTTTAGTTTTTTTTTCATTACAGTATCTACACAGTATTTAATGGGTTTAATAACAAATCTAATAAATTGGATGTAGTACTGTAAATCTCCTTATGAGGTTATGGGAAGTGATTTTGTTTTTTTCTGATTGTAAGAAAAATGCTCTTATTTACCAACATTGAATGAAGCACCTTGGTATTAAAATTTGGGCTCCTTATCCCCAATCCACCTCTCCATTCTGGCTTTACATTTTCAAATAAAGCCATATTTTCATGACAGGTTAATTAAAATATACTTTTATTTATGTTCCCTTTGTAGCCTCTTTAGTAGACTGCTCCAAGTTGATAGAGTCTGGATGTGTAGACTATATCTTTGCTGCATTGGGAAGCCATGACAAAACAATGAGGGCAGCAGCATACCATTGCTTGGCAGCATTCTATACACATTTAGAAAGTGCAAGATTCTGGGGCAGAAGAGAGGTACAGTATTTATGCAAATGATATACAGTGGAACCGCTATTAAGGGGACACCTTCGCAACCAAAAAGTGTTCCTTAATAAGGGTGTCCCAAAGCAGGGAGTTTACTGAATATTGTTTAAGTTGATCTTTGTCTTTGCAACTTAAATTCTTTTACAATCTTTAAATATTAGAAAAAGAAAGATTCTTGTTGTCTATCTTAAGAATACTTTATTGCATAAACTGCTGAAGTTCCCTTACCAATCAATTCAAGTATAATATAATTGCCCATCTCTTTTTTCTTTTGCTAAAAATGATTTATAATACAAGATCTCAATATGCTCTTATGTACCTAAAATCAGCATCTTTGATTTGTTAATTTCTGTAACCTTCTCTGTTGGTTTTTTTTGTAGGTTGCTTACCTCCTTGATTGTCTTCGTAACTCAATTAAGAAACCAAATCAACGAGTACCCAATGTGATATGCATTCTGATGGGGCGCATCTTGCAATTGATTCTAACCCCTGAAGATCTTATGTACAAGGTGGTCTTCAAAATGTTGTTTGTAAAACCAGAGCTAAATTTAGAAGCTGTACCCATGATGCAAAGGTTATTTTACAGCTCAAATCTTCAGGTGTGTATCGAGAACAATATTTTGTTTCTATTTTTAGAACTCATTTCATTCTCACCTAACAACAAGTAAACAATATTAAAGCTCTGTCATATGACATTATGCCCATATATGAGTATGATATGGCATCATTATGCCCATATATGGATATAATATGACATCATTATGCCCATATATAGGTATGTTATGACATCATTATGCCTATATATGGGTATGATATGACATTATGCCCATATATGGGTATAATATGACATTGTGCCCATATATGGGTATATAGGATATTATGCTCATATATGTGTATGGTATGACATTATGCCCATATATGGGTATAATATGACCTCATTATGACCATATATGGGTATGATATGACATCGTGATGTCCATTTTACATACGTTTGTCACATAAACTGTATATTGTATATAAAGCTTTACAGTACTGTATATATATTTTAATGTATATTTAGAATGTATTATTTGTTTAAATCTAGTAACAAATATTTTTGTTAATTTCATCCTTCAGAATAAAGTGGAACGTACCTGGTTGGTGCAGCTAATGATTGATGGACTGCGAGATGAGCATGATTTCTACATTTACAATCAGCAGAGCTACGTTTTCAAGACTCTATTAAGCTTCTTTAGTAGCTGTGTATGTGATAGGAAAATGCAGGTAAAAAGAATTTTGAAAAGGTTTTTTTTTTTTCAGGGAGGGGTCGTGATACAAGTCAATGGGATTCTTTTATTTGTACAATTTTTGTAGTGAATACAAATATTTAAATGCAATAAAATTTATAATTTATTTTTGTGTGATGAGTATTTATCATGTGACGTATTTTGTGTTTATTTATTGGTTAGAATCTGATCATACAGCTGCTTGATAAAGTGACCAGGTTACCAGGGGCAACGTTGAAGTTGATCCAAAATCACTCACTTCTCTCATGGATAGAAGCACAGGCAATAGTAAGGTAAAACTTACGTTTAGCTTTTCCACAATAGCAACAAATTGCCATATTTCTACACTGGTCATTTTGAACAGTATTTCTATTTATTTCTATATACATTTATTTATATTTTTGTTTATTTATTTAGAATTTATCATTGATGACATGACTTTTTTTGACAAGTTTTTTTTTTTTTGAAGAGTATTACATGGGCAGAGCCAACTCCAATAGTTTGCCACTCGAACATTCCCGATAGTGGTTGAACTAAAAATAAATAGACAACTTAAAAATTATTTTAATCATCAAATTAACAAGTAAGAAATTGTCCAAAATTGTGCAACCTCCTCCACTCCTCATGCCCAACTTTTCAAGCAGATAAAAAACCCTGATCTCAAGGCTAGGAAACCCCAAACAACTATAACCAACTCCTACTACAGTTTTTGTAATTTCTTGTAGTTCACTGAATGAAGAGACGCTGTTGAAGCTTTGTTCTCTGGTGAAGCTGATTGCCACATCCATCACCTCATCCATAAAGGCATTGCCCCAACCTGACAGTTGCCAAGTGCTTCATCGGATTGCTGTGGTCTGCTTCTCGTTGCTAGGTAGATCAAGGTGAGAGACAATGACAATGTTTTCATAATAATCAATTTAAAAAAATTAAAAAAAACACAAGCAATTAACATGTTGATAATGATACTAATGCACTAACTTGAATACTGTATGTCACAATCAAAGTAAGAAAGACTTTTACTATTTTATTATTGATAATAATGATACTAAGGCTGCTGCTACTACTAATGCTACTGCAGTACTTCTACTGCTACTAATACCTCCAGTAATGGTAATGATATTAACTTTAATTGTGAAAGTATCTATGGTGAATATAGCAGCAATTGCTAGAAATAGAGATAGTTATTTTGGGAATATAATCAATATATAAACATTTTGATTGTTCCTATCTCGACCAGTCAACGTGTATTAGGTCTAGTGTGTGTACACATAACCCATTATACTTATACATTAATGTGGTGTTGTGATTATTTACAATATTGGCAGTAGCGCCACCTATTGGCGTTAAGGTTGGAAACTTAGAGAGGGAGCCATAATGATGATGAATGAATCAAGGCAGAGAACCATATGATGAGTTCTAGTGTTTGTACTTCATTTGATGTATGCGTAGTTACATGATATACTACTGACTGTACAACATTACATTGGTGACGAGGATCATCACCCTACATGGCAGAAGAGATAAAAGTAAGTCAAATCTCAGAATTTGATGAGTGAAGTCACACCACCGAGAGAGTGCGACCGCAGCCATGTTGAATAGCACAGCCACGTCTATGAACATAGCACAGTTCAACGTGCATAGTCATGCTGATCGTCCCCGACGATGGGACAGATGGATAAGGCATTTTGAGATTGGCCTAATAGCAAATAACATAACCGATGATAATAGGAAGAAAGCACTATTATTATTTTATGGAGGCCCAGATCTCTAGGATGAAGTAGATGTTCTATTAAAACAACCTACTTCCAGGCCTAGACCTACAACTGCCGCGGCAGATGGCTCTAGTGCAGCAGTGACGTCACAACCAGGTGCGTCTTCGAGTAGTGCGTCGGGATCGAGTAGTAGTAGTACAAGCAGAGCTACTGCTACGCCGAGTTATGATGTAATAAAGAAACTCTTAAGCTTGCATTTCAATCCCCAAAATAATAGAGATTATGAATCATTGGTTTTTAGAAGGCTTCTGCAAAACAAGGGTGAACTCATGCAAGATTATTATACCAGGTTGCACCAACAGGCAGTTAAATGTGATTTTTCTGACATTGACCGAGAAATTAAAACTCAGATATTAGCTGGATGTGCTTCAGATAAATTTCGGCGAAAGCTGTTAGAAAAAGAAAGAACATTAAATGACATCCTACTGTTAGCACGAGCAAATGAACAAGCAGAATTACAGTCAACAGACATTGCACAAAGTACAAGTAAAGACAGTGTTAATAGACTGTATGATAAACGTAAA